CGGATGTACGGTGCAGCAGGCTGCGCTGCGCTGAGATGGAGCTCAGCTCACCGAGGCTGCTGAAGAGCCTGCGGAGGGAGAGCGGGTCAGGGCCGGCGACGGGCGGAGGCCAGCGGGGCGGCGCGCGGGGCGGGACGAGGGCCAGGGGCCGGGAGGACTCGCCTCCCTGCGAGCCTTGCTCAGGGGGACCCCTGGGCTGTGTGGAGTGTGCGGCAGGACCGGCGGCCCCTCCGCTCCGTGCAGGCTGCAGGAGCAGCCCACCAGAGGAAAGGGGGTCTGGCCAGCCTCTGGCACCGCGGATGGCCTGGATGGTGGGACCCGACAACACCCTTCAGCACTCCCCACACGCAGCTCTTCTCTCAGGAGGAGACCCGGAGAAACCTGGGCTGGCTTCAGGGACAGCCGCGTCACGATAAAGGCTGGCAGCAGCACGACAGGCCCGAGGCAGCGCTCACGGCCCCACGGAGCAGCAGCACATGCAGCACAGGTGAGAGGCCGCAGCACTCCCGTGACATGAGTGTCCCAGCGCAGACGGCAGCAGACCAGCAGCAGTGGCAGGAGCAGTGGCACATGCGCACACACACGAGGACGCCTCACTTGACAGGACCCCAGACCTCCAGCCCTCCTCAGCCAGGCCGTGGTAGGAGGCCTCCCCGGGGTGACTGCTTCTGAGAAAACCCGCTCCCGCATCCCCCATCCCCATCCCTATCCCCTACTGTGGCCAGGGGAAGCCTCCGGGACTGTCAGTGGCACCACAGCCCCACACAGCCCCGCAGAGCAGAGGCCCTGGTGGCCAGGCACAGCCCTGGAGGCGACAGGCGTGGGATGGGCATGCTCACTTACACAGCGGCACCCAGGCCCACCGCGCAGCTAGACAGAGCAGCCACATGCACACGGGCGGGAGAGCGGTGAGACAGAGTTAGCAGGCCAGGCCCCATGGCCACGGTCACAACCACACAGTAGGCAGCCAGGTGCAGGGGGCCCAGCTGCTGAGGGAGGCAGCAAATCTGGAGCTACCGGGGCTGGGGAGCACCTGTGAGGTGTCTGGAAGTGCAGGTGGACTGGGCAGATCTGAGCAGGTTCCTGAGCGCCTGTGGGCATCACTGGAAAGGTCGCCTGGGAAGTGCTCAGCAGGCGTCAGGTACTTGTCCCCACCCTCTGCCCGGCCTCTCCCAGACAGCCCACCCACCCCTCCCTGCCCATGCCCCAGCTGCTCCCCCGCTCCTTGGCACTGTCCTGACCACAGAGCAACCCCCAGTGCTGGCCCACACCAGCAGGGGCTCCATCCAGGTCGTTCCCACCCTTCACCTCCCACCTGTGCGAAGCCAGCCCCTCTGGAGACTGGAGCTCTGTCTCTCCCGCACGACCTCATTTCCACCCCCTTCCACTGTCTCTCCTCAACCACTGTCCCAACGGTTCAGACCCAGACCAGAGTTTCCCAAAGAGGCCAGACTGTGCCCCCAACAGAGAAGGCCTCCGAGAACACCTGAGGTGGGCTCAGGGAACCAGCACCAACCACCAGAACCTGGCCTCCAGGGAGCCACCTGTGTTCCAGGGCGAAGTGGGGTGGCAGCTGCAGTTGGGGAGAGGATGCCCAAGGGACTGTGCTGGGGGGGGGGTGTCGATGGGGTTGGGGTTCCTAGGGATGGTGCTCAGGAGCCAGTGATTGCTGGAAGGAGGGATGTCAGAGGGGACTCTGAGGGAATCATTCCTGTGGGACCAGATCATGGACCCCCTGAGAGGAGCTGGACCAGGAATATGCCCCTGGCCCTCACACAGTGACCCTGGCCTGAGAACCTGCATCACAGGATGGACATCTGCCCTGGCCCCGCCCCAAGGTTTGGGTTTCAGTGGAGTTGTGATGTCAGATGTACCTGGAGTCTCACGTATGACAAAGCACACTGATGAGCTGGCAGACCACAGCCGAGCAGTGAAGGCAGGGGACACAGGGCGGCTGCTGGGCAGTGCAGCAGGGAGGCTCAGCCAAAGTCCAGAGCAGGGTCTGGGCTCCAGGAAGTCCAAGTTGGGCAGAGCAGAATGTGCCTGCCTGAGTGGTGCTGGAGCCCTCCTGCCTGGCAGGAGGTGTGTGGAGGCCTGGGCTGAGGGCAGGCTCCTCTTCCTCTTGGGGAACAAGGTCCCCAAGGCAGGAACCCCAGCAGTGTCCATGTCTGATCTCCATGTTTCCATGCCATCACTGTCCACCACTGCCCTGAGCTGCCTGACCTCCCTGGCCCGGCTCCAGCTGCAGCATGGCCACAGCACATGGTAACTCACCAGGTGCCATCACCCCAAACACCATCAGCAGCCTCCCTCCAGAGGCTAAGTCCAGACCAGTCAGCGAGGTGTCCACAGCCCCCAGTGTCTTTTCCACCAGCGTCTCAGTCTCCTGTCTCCTAGTGACTCGTAGCCAGTGAGGTCTGGCCTCACCCTCAACCCCGCAGGACCTCTCTGCTGACCTGTTCTTGTTTCCCTTTCCTCAGCCTCTTCCTTCTTAGGTGGTTTTCCGGGCCCTCTTGGTCTGCACTTTGTCCTGGGCTGTGGTATCTACCCCCACCCTTTGCTATGGCTGACGTGCCCAGAAATGCCACATGTGAGGCCTGGCCCATCTCTCCTGAGCTCAAGACCTGCATCCCCATCTCTGTGAATGGTGCCCCGGCCTTCTTACCCCATCAGCTCCTCCCTCCTGTCACTCCTACGGCCAACCAGCCACCAGCTCCTTGTGTCAACCCAAGCCGCACTTTCACCCCCAGCCACCTCTGGGTCCAGACGTCTCATGGTCTCAAGGCCCTTCACCACACTTGTTAACTGTTATCCTCGGGTCCTGGCACCTAGCATAAAGCCAGGAATACCCTATGCAGTGAAAAAATATCATACAAAAATAATATGACATGTCCCTCCCAGGCTTCCCCACCTGTCAATCTACTGGTACCAACAGGCAGGAAAGGTCCAAACTCTGGCCCCAGCCTTTGCCTTGGGCCTCCTGCCGCTGCATTCACAAGCGGCAGGTCTAGGCCCGTTACACTTTTTTGTGGCTTCTTGCAATTTGGAGGCCTCATTGAGATAAATAATCCTCAAAAGGAGCACAGATCCAGACACAGGCTCTGAAGCCTCCTCACCACCCACACCTGTTCACAGCTCTACCTGCCCTGCCCCAGTGTCCCTACGTGCCCTCCTCTGTGACCCCCCCCCTCCCCAGCAGACTTCAGGGCTCCCGTTTGTGCCTCGACCGCATGTGGCCTGCAAAGATGCAGCACAGCTGGCCCTGGCACCCCTACACTGCTGGGCACATGACACTTTCAGTCTGGGTTAGGGTTAGGGCTAGGGCCTCGAGGCACCTACAGGTATGATCAGCCAAGCAGGCCTTTGTCTAGACCCCTGACAAACATGTCAGCAGGCAGGGCCTGCAGTAGGCAGCCAAGGTAGGGATTCTCGACCATCATGAGGAATGTGGGTCTTCTGTAAGATCTAATAAGTGACCCCACCAGGTCAGGAGACCATGGCACACAGTGCCTTCCTTCACGGGAGCTTATCAAAGGCACTGAGAAGTACTGCAGCAAAGAACCTCTTTACCTTTGTTTCCAAAGCTATTTCACCACGACGTTTTTCCATAAAACCAGATGTGAGGTTCAGACGGGTGTAAAATGGAGAGTCAAGGCAGAACTGAGCATTGCTATGGACCTCAGAGCACATGTAGGATTCGGATTCAAGCATGGGGCCCGGAAGACAAATGGAGTTCAGAGACAGGCGGGGGCTCTGACACAGGTGTGGGGCCCCAGAGACGAGACAGGTATGGGGTCCAGAGACAGAGATGGGGCTCTGAGCAGACAAACGGTCTGTCCAGTAGGGCTGAACCCAAAGCTGGGTTCCGAGCAGACAGACGACCTGGGATCAGCGATTCAGAAAGCCGAAGGTCCTGGGCCTTCCGGAGACAACGTGAGGTGCTGCATCCACAGCTTCCACCCGCAGGTCAAAGACGGCCCAGGTGCAAATGAGCGGAGCATTTTCCACAAGTTACTAAGCTTTGGCTCCACGACATACAAGGCAACTTAACTCGTCCAGGAAGATCTCAGGCCACAGAGCACCTCATGGCTAAAGAACACCAGTGCCTGGACCGAGCCGTCTGTGGAGAAGTTGGGTGGAGAGGGTTTCCCTCCTTGTGCTGTCTGTTGGGTGAGGAATGGGTTGGGCCTGGGAGGTGAAACTGGTGGCTAAAGAACACCAGTGCCTGGACCGAGCCGTCTGTGGAGAAGTTGGGTGGAGGGGGTTTCCCTCCTTGTGCTGTCTGTTGGGTGAGGAATGGGTTGGGCCTGGGAGGTGAAACTGAGGGAACACACAGGGGTCTGGGGACATGGCTCAGGGGTTGACGCTGAGGGCCTCTGCCAGGACTGCTTCTGGGAAGACAGCAGCCACACCTGGCATCAGAGCTTCCCAAACTTTGGACGTTTCTCTAAAAGACAATTTCTAGCAGTTTCATCCTAAAGTGAGAAGTGAGTGACAGACCTCAGCCACCACTGGATGCAGGACAAGAACCGACAAGCAGTCCCCATGGGCACCACAGCCTTGGTCAGCCACACAAAGGACCTGACAGAGGGCTGGACGCGGACGTGGCCACGGCGCTCTGTGCCTGCAGCCAGAAGTGAAGGGGCTGGGTGGGCAGTGGGCCTGCTCTAGGTGACTGTGGTTCGGGCTTGGTCTGAGAGTAAGAAGGAGCACGAGAGGGTGGAAGGGAGAATGAGCAGGAACACAGGGGACACAGAGGCAAACGGAGAAGGAAAAGCCAGGCACAGGGTGGCTGGACTCTGCTGGGCCACCTGACAAGCAAAGAGTGCAAGTCTGTGCTGTGTGACAGACATGCCTGCCGTTCCTGCGTGAGGGTCACCGAGCACAAACCCAGCACACGTCCTCAGAAGGGGTTTAACGACAGAGACTCCAGATTATGGCAGACAGAGAGCAGGCCTCGGGGTCACACAGACGCCACCTTTGCTGACAGGAATGAATGTCTCCGGAACCTCAGTTTGTTGTCTGGAAAGTGGAGATTACAGTATTGTCCATCTAACAGAATGATTGTGAAGGGGCCGGCCCGGTGGCGCACTGGATAGTGCGCCGCTTGGGAAGCGCGGCGGCGCTCCCGCCTGAGGGTTCGGATCCCACATACGGACCGGTTCCCACTCACTGGTTGAGCGAGGCACAGGAGCAACACTGAGGGTTGCGATCCCGTTGCCGGTCCCCGGTCCGGTACGGGGGCGACACTGAGGGTTGCAATCCGTTGCCGGACACGGAAAAAAGACAAAAAAATAAAAATAAAAAAAATAAAAAATAAAAAATAAAAA